GGCCTAGTAATCTACTCTAGGAAGGAACATGACTTCCTTACCCCCAGGACTCTGCAGAATAGCCACCCCTTGTAGTTGCCCCTGGAGGTCTTGTTGATACCACCCCATACATGGGTGCTGGGAATTCCTCAGGGTGCAGTGCAAGACCTCAGCCTATCCACGTGTTACCAAGACTCACCTGGCCTTTGCTCCACCAGGCTTGCAGGCAGGCTGGGCTTAACATGGACAGAGTGGTCACCCCCAGTGGTACCCAACTGGGCTAAATCCTAGAAAGGAGGACCCATGAAGGATGCTGATAAGAGACTAGAGAGCCGAGGAGATTCCTACCCAGGTAGTGGGGCTGTGCCTGGGATTATGGTGGCACAACTAGGACTATGGAGCAGCTTCTCTGCCTATGCTTTGGTGAATGAGTCCTTCTTTCCATCATCTCTCAGACCCCCTGAGTGGCTCCCTCTGCTTGTCATCAGACTGGTACTCACAACAGCCATGAGCACCTAGCCTCACCTCTCAAGGCCCTGCAGGCTCTCTCTAACAAGGCCGTGAGATGAGACCAGGTGACGTGACAGGAGAGCAGGACCCAGGCCTGCAAGGCAGCAATCAGGGGCTGGCAGTCTCAGAGTGAAGTTCCAGAGGGCGAGGCTTTCTCATTAAACTAAACATCTTGTCTCATCTTCTCCTTGAAGCTCAACTCAACCTGAAGTTGAGGTGTGAAGCAGGTGTGGGCATTTCCTTCCTCCCTCTCCCCTGGGATCCCTGCCTGCCCTTCAGGCACTGAGCACCTTAATGGAGTACTTGGCCCTGCACCCTTTCCACTGTATGCCTTCCTAGAATGGTGGCCTGAATCTGTACCTCCAGTCTTTGTGAGGGATTAAAATACCTCAGTGCAACCTGGCAACACTTAGAGAATTGAACAAAGACCTCTCTCTCCACGTGCTCTCATGCACATAGAGGCTGCTGCAGGGCATTGTCAGGCAATGCAACAAAGGATACCCATGCCAAGTGCTTGACTCGGGGCGGGGCAGAGGCAAATTAAAAAGGAGGGGCTTCATGCTTCTTGTTGAAATAAGTGAAAGGCCTCTTTCTCCTCCTCACCATTTTCCTAGAGCATTCCTTTAGCAAACTGGTAATTGTAAGTTCTTTTATTTCTGTAAAATGTGTCTAAGTCCTTTAGAAAGCTAAATAAGGCTCTTTCCATCTTTAAAATGCTGAAAGCTCTTCCTCAAGAAGAGCTTCACTATATTTTGTTAATTTATTTTTATTTTTATTTATTTATTTATTTTTTAGAGACAGTCTCACTATGTCGCCCTTGGCAGAGTGCTGTGGCGTCACAGCTCACAGCAACCTCAAACTCTTGGGCTTAAGTGATTCTCTTGCCTCAGCCTCCCAAGTAGCTGGGACTTCAGGCACCTGCCACAATGCCCAGCTATTTTTTTGTTGCACTTGTCATTGTTGTTTAGCTGGCCCAGGCTGGGTTCGAACCCACCAGCCTTTGTGCATGTGGCTGACACCATAACCTCTGTGCTACAGGCGCCAAGCTATATTTTGTTAATTTATATAAATATATAATTATATAACAGTATATAATAGCTTGTTATTTCAACTACATTTAATTATGTATTTAATTCTGTTTTCCTAACAACTCATAGTGCTGCCACTACCCATTAGAGCAGGTGTCCTCAAACTACGGCCCTTGGGCCACATGCAGCCTGCCGAGGACATTTATCTGACCCGCCGGGTGTTTTTGCCCCCACTGCCTGTCCTGATTAGCAGCCGACTCATCCTGGGGCCTGCAGTCTGGCCCTCCAGTGGTCTGAGGGACAGTGAACTGGCCCCCTGTTTAAAAAATTTGAGGACACCTGCACCAGAGTGACCGTTGGCCTTGGCAGCTTGTTCTGTAAGACAGAGATAATAATGAAAACTGGACCAAATGTTTTTTTCTCACTATGTTACCCTTGGTAGAGTGCCATAGTGTACCAAATGGATCAACACGTGAAAAATTCTTAGAATAGAGCTTGGCACAGACTAAACATTTAACCAGGGCTCACTGTCATTATTGGAATGATAAATTATAAATTCAACTAAAATATGACAGGATTAATGGTAATGTTTGTTTTTAATTGCCTCAGTACTCAAGTGAGATTGAAAGCATAGAGTCTCACAACTTTCTAACACTGATAACAGGTTATGTTTTTCAGAAATCTTGAAAACCAATAATCTGGGAAATTAGATTGAGAAGGCCCTGTATCTACCATCTCTCCAGGCACAGCATTTTACAGGCAACATGGAGACACAGAGGGATTTCAGGATTCAAGACTGCACTGAACTCAAGCTGGTCTTTCAGCTGTGGTTCAGGAAATGCAGAGGAGAGGCGGGGCCATCCGCCAGACCCATCTTCCCAGAGAATACCCACATAAGGAGACAGTAACGGCTGGTGTCCTGGGGTGGAAGCCAGAGGAGGACCAAGGAAAGGGCACTCTTGAGTCTGCTCTCCCTGCTCCCAGATCCTTGATGAGGATCCTACTTCTTCCCCAAGGACAGTGGGAAGGACGGATTGCTGGATAAGGGATCTGGGGCCATCTCGGTTTACAGGACTATCTGTCCTGCTTCCCTATTGCCTCCTCCCTCAGCCTTAATCCTCGAATGAGATTGGGATCAGAGTGTCTCCATGCCCCTGTTATCTCCCTCCCTGGTATTCCTGCTCAAGGTCAGTGCCTCCCCAGGCTGTGCCTTGGCCTTTTGTCTTGGCCCAGCTCTGGCCCTGAGCCGAGGTAAACCTCTTGCTTCCAGATGGCTGCCCAGCTCCCTGCCTCCTCTGCCAGGCTCATAGTGAGGGGTTGTGGCTGCCTCCTCGACATTTATTTTCTTCCCCCACCTCATCCCAGTTATATTCAAGTGCTCAAGGAAGCAGCAAACCCACTTAACTGGTCCTCACCAGCTTTGATGAGCTCCGTAGATAATACGAAGTCTGTGCATGCACTGAAGGAAGCAGATGATACCAGCATCAACCCACCCCCATTTGAGTTGAGCTCCCGTGTGAGGATGTGTGGTCCAGTCTGTGTGGAGGAGGCCCAGGGCCCATGTCCTCTCCATTGTTAAATGGAGGATGGCCAACCAGGTTTCCAGCTCAGCGTCAGCTGTGTTGATCTCCAGAAAGAAATTATTCTTGATATAAGAGTCAAACTAGGTCCCTTCCCTCAGAACCAGCCATCAGATGATATCATCTCCCTCCACCAGGCCAAGCCATGACGGAATTGCATGGCTAGAGTCTGGCACAGGTGAGTGTCTGTGACCTAAGGAACTAATAAAAAGAGCAGGAGCCTGGGGAAGGACCCCTGCATTCCTGTGCTGGCTCCACTGATGACTTGATGATGGGTCAAGCACTCTCATGCTACCCTTCCCTGCTCTTGTCTCTTTATCCAAAGTTAACTGGATTGGAAATTTTAGAAAACTCAGTGGGTCTAAAGTTCCTTTTTATTCTGATGAGGTTTTTTAAAAAATTCATGTTAAGAAGGTACAAATGATTAGGTTACATTGTTTGCATTTGTTAGGTAAAGTCCAAGTTATAGTTGAGCCCTTCACCCAGGCTAGGTGCTTTATACCCTCACATTGTGCACATGAGATGAGAGCTTACCAACCCCCACCCTCCTACTCTGTCCCCTTTCTCTCCTCTTCCTTTCTGCACCTTAAATTTAATTGTTCTTCTCTTGTGTGGGCATGTAGTTGTTCATCTGGTGGTTTCGTAATAGTATTGAGTACATTGGATACTTGCTTTTCCATTCTTGTGATACTTTACTAAGAAGAATGTTTTTCAGCTCCACCCAAGTCTGGTGTTTTAATATTCTAATATTCCTTCTGTGCTTCTACTGCAATGATTTTCAGTCAGTGTACCATGAGAAGATCTAAGGTGTGACACAATTCTTTTTTTAAAGATCATTAATTGGTGGCGCCTGTAGCTCAAAGGAGTAGGGCACTGGCCCCATATGCCAGAGGTGGCGGGTTCAAACCCAGTCCCAGCCAAAAATTACAAAAAAAAAATCATGAATTAAATTATTTTGAAAGAAGTTCAAAACACAGTAATATATTCTTATTTTTACTTTTTTGATCAATTTAAGCATGCTGCTGTAGTTTAACTATAGGTTCAAATGTGTCTTGAAATAAAAAACAATAAAGGTTGAAAAACACTGTTCATCAAACTACCATTTGCATCATACCAGTGCACCTGCACTTGGAGAGGTTGGGCTGAGCCTGCAGTGGGAAGTCACTCAAGTGTGATTTCTCTGAAAGGCGACTCGTGCAGCTCAAAGCACCACCAGTGCAAATTCATGTTTATTTCTCGTCTTCTTTTCCCCCTCACCTTCTCCCTATCTTGCTCCTCCCTGCGAATGTGCAGAAAATCAAAGCTGCCCTAGACGTGTCCATCTGGAAAGCTGATTATAGTTCCTTCACCTTTGAGTGTCCTTCCAGGGATTAGTAGCAAAGACTCCTCCAGGAGGTGGAAATCACAACCTCCCCCAAACTTCTCTCAGAAACTTCCCTCCTTGCCTGGTACAGGAAAGCAGAAAGGTCAGGTTCACACGTGGTGCCACCCTCTGCCTGACCTCTCATCTATACACAAACAAAATGGAAATTGCCCATAAAAATGGGGGGGGCATACGCCAGATGAAGCATGTGCAGTAAGAACACCCATGGATACAAGATAGGAAGATGTGGTGTGGGGCAGGAAAGGAGGAGAGAGGGAGAGAGATATGGGGGGAGAGAGAGAAGAAGGAGGGAGAAACTAAGCCTCTTTAATTCTGCAAGCCCCCATTGGCAGTATACTGGTGTAGGGGTGGAGTGGAAAGTCTGAACCATTCACTCCTGAGAATTTCATGCCAGTCCTTGCCCCTGTCCCTTCTCTGGGCACCTCTTACCTCCAAAGTTATGTAAGGGGCACCACTCAGAACCCAGAGGATAATCAGATCAGAAGCGCCCCAGCCTACCCCCGCCCCCATGGCGTGGTGCCTGGCTCAGGTGGAGGGAAATATAAACCCGGGGCTCTCAGGTGTCTCTCTGTAGGGGAGATGCTCCCTGGGAGACATGGCCTGTGCCCTTCTCTTCTGTCTTTTCCTGCTTCTAGCCCTGGAAGTCCCTTTCCTGGGCAACTGCTTCGGCCCCATGTCTCGCTTACGTTATTCTAGGTTCCTAGATCCTTCCAATGTCGTGTTCCTGCGTTGGGACTTTGACCTTAAGGCTGAATTCATCACTTTTGAGCTCCAAGTCCGCACAGCTGGCTGGGTGGGCTTGGGTGTCACAAATCGCTACACCAGAGCAGGCAGTGACCTGGTTGTTGGAGGAGTCTTATCCGACGGCAATGTCTATTTTTCGGTAAGTCCGGGGGGTCAATCTCTTCTAAGGATGGGAGTCTTTGTTGGGTTGAGAAAGGATCCACATTTTCCAAAGACATCCAAGTGCACACCCACAACTCCAGCTGAATGCTGAACTCTCCCTCCAAATATGGTCCACTGCAGAGTTTGCAAACTAGGTCTTCCAGATGGCACATCTCCAAGACTGTCAGGAGAATGAAGCTATTAGATTGTGTGAGAGAGTCTTGCACCACTTTCTTTCTAATAGCCCACTAAATCCAGGTGACTGGGGAACACTCAAAGCTGTTTGAGATGTAGTCTCTGTCCTCAATTTTCTTTAAGCATAATCAGGTAGACCACAGCATAAAATAATCCAATAACAGCAACAGCAAAAGCAATAGCTCCCAATTATCATATACTTTGCTTACCCAAGCATTGTTCTGAATTCTTTGCATTTCAAACTTCTAGCACCACTGTAAGGTGGATTGTTATCCCAATTTTATAAATGGAGAAGTAGCTCACTCAGCTCCCAATCTCACCTATTCCAAACTCTCAATCACTCTTCCAACGTGCACTTATGTAGGGAAGCGTCGGTTCACAGGACAAGGTAATGTCTATTAAGAGCCACCTGAGAGAGGAGGAACGGCATAGATGGTTTAGAGAACACACGAAATTTCAAGGGTTAGTGAGGCAGGAATATTAGGATCTATGAAGATGGGATTTGAAATGGGCGCAGTAAAGGGAAGTCAGGTGGCAAAACTCCATCAGCCATGCTCCATCCCTCTTCCTGGAGAATCTGCTGCTTGTTGCTCTGTCCTACCCTATGGGGAAAACTGCGTAATAGAGAAGAACAGGGTTCCACGACTTCAATATCTTGGGGGAGCTAACAGGTGACATTTGGGGCTCCTGGTTCTTACTCCTTGATCTTCACTGGGCCCCAGGATCAGCACCTGGTGGACGAAGACACTCTGAGAGAAGACGGCAGCCAGGACGCCGAGCTGCACGGGCTGACGGAAGGTGCTGTCTACACCACCATGCGCTTCTCCAGGCCCTTCCGCTCCTGCGACCCTCATGACCAGGACATCACGGTAAAACAGGGAGGGGAGAAAAGCATTCCAGCACAGGCAGCTGCTCCTTCTGGGGAGGAGTAGTCTCCCCCAGTCAGGCAGCCAGTCACAGTCCCCAGTACTTCTGTCCCTCTCAGCGTCCCCAGGTGCTGCCCTTACTGCCACAGTAGAACCCACAATCTCCCAGCAGGGTGACGGCACACTGAATCATTCCTCCCCATCCTCCCCAGGGATCCCCCTTGAAGAACCCTACCCAATTTCACTGAACTTCCAAGTGCTAGGATTTTGCAGTTGAGCTTCAGCCTTTCAGCTCACAAATGAGAACGCAGGCATAGAGAGAGAATGCAGGAGGGCCAGTGACTTGCCCAAGGTTACCAGCAAGTCATCTTCATAGGCAGAAAAAGAACCTGGCTAATTCTCACTCCTGGTCTGAAGCTCCTTCCATCCCACTGTGTAGACATGAGCAAGTGGCTTGTGCAGGTCCTTGGATGCACATATGTGTGAAGTGCTGCCCCAGGGGTAGCACCCCTTTAATGCTTATGGAACCCCTAGGGTGACACTGTGAGGGTGATGGCTGCCTACGGCCTGGATGACACCCTGAAACTGGATCGGAACCGGATTTTTGTCAAGTCCATCTTTCTGCTACAAGTAGTCCATCCTGACGATCTGGAAGTCCCTGAGGACACCATCATCCATGACTTGGAGATCACTGATGTAAGAAGTTCCCTCTGCCCCCCCCCCCCCCGCCACCTCCAGCTCCCTTTTCATCTCCCCACTCAATCCAGAGCCCTCCTCTGACACCCAATATTCAGTACATTCCCTAGATGGAGGGTACTCGGGACCCCCTCCGTGCCCCAAGGACTACCAGTCTGACCCTGTGTGAACCCCCTTCCCTTGCTGGGCCCTGCGCCTGTTTCTTTGGAAGCTTCAGGACCACCCGGCTTAGTGTCTGTGCACCCTCCCCAGTTCCTTATTCCAGAGGATGACACCACATACGCCTGCACATTCCTCCCTCTGCCCATTGTTAGCAAGAAGCATCACATCTACAAGGTACAGTGAACCAGGCAGGGGCATTGTCAAGGCAGGGGAACGAGTTGGAGCAGAGAGCAGCAGGCTTGGTCAGGTCCTCTCCACAGGATGGCGTCTGGAAAACTGCCGAAGGGCCGCTATAGAGAAATAGTGAGAAAACAGGGCAGCCAGGTGGAGGCGGGCTTGGTGAACATGGTGCTTACATATGACCTCCTGAGGCCACAGCCATAACTTCCAGCACTTAAGCCCCAGAGTGCAACAGACATTTTATGAAGGTTACAAATCAATAAGTGCTTGTAAAGAACAAAGCAGAAGCCCCACTCTGGCCGGAGAATTGTTCCCTCTCAGCCCAGGAGAGGGAATGCGGCCAAGTCTGGCCCCAGTGAACTCAGACTTGATCACCCTAATTCACATTTGAGGGATTTGGAGTTTGAGCAAATAAAAATATAATCTCACAGAGAGTAGCAGATGTGTGGGAGCTGTTTGTTCTTAGAAAGAGAATCCAAAAAGCTGTAGTAGCTGCTCAAACGCACAGAACTGACTGGGGTTACCACGGAAAGCCAGGGGTTTGGGGTATCCCCAGCTCTGCTCTCCAGAAAGAGGTGTAGTGGGAGTTTAGAAGAGAGTCGAAGAGGGTGGGTGGGAAAATGAAAGCCTGGGGGACAAAAACAGAGAGAGGGAATGAAAGACAAAGAAAGGGAGAAACAAGGATGGACACCGTTTGACTTTGAGGAAGAGAAATGGGGAGAATCCAGACTTGACCCAGGTGGTCTTGGCCGTGGGCTGCTCCCCTTTCTCTGCCCAGTTTGAACCCAAGTTGGTCAACCACAACGAGACGATGGTGCATCACATCCTGGTGTACGCCTGTGGCAACGCCAGCGCCCTCCCGACCGGCATCAGCGACTGCTACGGGGCCGACCCTGCCTTCTCCCTCTGCTCCCAGGTCATCGTGGGCTGGGCTGTTGGGGGCACTGTGAGTCCTGCAGTGGGCACTAGCTAAGTGGGTGCGTGTTGTCAGGCAATGGGGATTGCCGAGCTGGTCAAAGATCAGGGAACAGGGGAGGTCTGGGAAGAGGCCGGGAACCCAGAGCGGGAGCCCTGGATCCTTGCGCCCAGTTCTCAGCCTCTCTTGCTACCACCTCTCCCTCTTTGAAACAGAGTTACCAGTTTCCCGATGACGTGGGCATCTCTATTGGGACCCCCTTGGACCCTCAGTGGATCCGCCTGGAGGTTCATTACAGCAACTTTCACAACCTTCCTGGTGAGCGTCCAGAAGGTTTGCGGAAGGGCAGCTGGTGGGGCTGGGGGCTTCCCCTGGGCACTGGAAACGTGTTCCAGGACACAAGCAGACTTCTTACGGTGACAGCCCGGCCCCAGCTTTCCCGCGCCTGTCTCCTTCCATGCTGTGCCGCGCTCTCCTACACTCCCTGATGGGTCCTTTCTGCACCAGGTGTGTACGACTCCTCAGGCATCCGTGTGTACTACACCAGTCACCTGCGCAAATACGACATGGGCGTCCTCCAGCTCGGCTTCTTCACATTCCCCATCCACTTCATACCCCCAGGCGCCGAGTCCTTCATGTCCTACGGGCTGTGTAAGACGGAGAAGTTTGAAGAGGTGAAGCTGGGAGCACGCCCTCCTGCGGAGGGAGCCAACTCTCCGTGCTCCCCATCACAGATCTGGTCTGAGCCATAGAGGTGGAGAATGAACTCGTCCTGGAGTTCAGGAAATCATTAACATGACTCACTCGTGGGAGGGAAAGAGTCAGGTCTTGGGGGCAAGGGGAGGGCGGGAAGAGGAGCCAGTGGGGGGAGCTCAATAAGAATTAAGGGGGTGCCAGTCATAAAGGAAGGTGTCAAATTCCAAGTACAGAAGATAAGAAGCAGGTCTGGCTGAGCGCTCTTAACAGCCCGGGTGTGCCTCCTCCCCTTCCAGATGAACGGGGCGCCCGTCCCTGACATACAGGTATACGGCTACCTGCTGCACACCCACCTGGCTGGCCGGGCTCTGCAGGCCGTGCAGTACAGGTAAGGGAGGACCTTGATTTGAAGCTTGTCCTTCTGTAGGTGGGAATACATTTTAGGAACAGCCATTGATTCTGCAGTAGAAAGTTGCGCTTGGTTGAGAGTAAGGAGGAAGTAAAATGATCTCTAGAGTAGAGGTGACTGGAACAAGGCTTTGGAGGAAGGAGAGTTTGTGTTCACTGTGAGGGCAATCCACTCACAGAATGACCCCACATGCTGTGTCTTTGACTCACCCTGTCTACATCACTTCCTTCTGTCTGTCTTCTCCCCTTGGCTCCCTCTAGAAATGGAACACAACTCCAAACCATCTGTAAAGATGATTCCTACGACTTCAACCTGCAGGAGACTCGAGATCTACCTGCCCGAGTGGCAATCAAGCCGGTGAGAGTCTGGGGGAGACACAGTGGGGATGGAGGAGGCAGAATGAGAGCTCATTATTGTCAGCCAAGGCGGTTCTTGGGTTCTTACTCACAGCCTTCATGTTCATTTCAAACAGGGAGACGAATTGCTGGTAGAATGCCACTACCAAACCCTGGACCGTGAAGCCTTGACTTTTGTGAGTGCCTCTCTGCACACCTGGAAACCAGCACCACAACCCCAGAAGAGAGTCCAGCCCTTTCCAGTGACCCAGACAATTCCAATGAAGCCCCTTCCTACCTCCAGTGGCATTATCCACTCACCCAGGCCCTTTCATGCTCTCACACTCCTATGTATCTGGGCTGGGTCCAGGGACCCTGTACATTCTGTGTCAGTGACCCCCTAAAACCAGGGAAAGGAAGTATGTTGGAGCAGCTAAGCACAGGGACTCTCAGCACCATCATTAGTAGTTTTCTCACCTTAGGAACACGATTATTCACTAAAATTAACGCCACTTTGCATCCCCCACGGCTACTGGGAGAGCTGAATAACATGTGCAAAAGACTTAGGTCACTATCCACCTTGTAGTGGAGGCTCAGATAGAGTTAAGCTATGGTTTTTATGGTCACAGGGAACCGCGCCCATGTCATGTGTCAGGAGCGATTCTGTGCTTGTGGGATTCAGAGGGGGCTCCATACTGTTGAGGAAAATGATAGTCCTAGAAATGATATGTATCCTATAAGAATGAGGATAATGCATTAGGGAAATTCATAGGAAAAATAAAAAGATTCTGGTGTAGCAAACTGAACATGTAATCTGTGAGGTCTGACAATTGAGTTTACAAACTCATCCTAGAAAAAGTTACATAGCTCATTGCTGAATATCACTACAGTCACCTTCGAAGCACTCCCCTGGGGAAGCTTTGCACAGACACCAGCACTTAGCCCACTCTTCAAAACAATTTGGAGCTCTTCTTCTGGAATGGTCCTTAGAGCCATCAACATACAAGGTCTGACAATTAAGTTCAGCAACTTGTGCTAGAGATGGTGCTTCAAAGGGTGAACTAGACACTGGCATCAGTGAACAGCTTCCCCGGGGAGTGCTCTAAAGGTGACCATAGTGACATTCAGCAATGAGGGATGTAACACTTTTTTTAGGGAAAGTTTGAAAACGTAATAGTCAAGCCTCAGATGTGAGTGGCTCCTGCTCCAGACATGTAGAGGTGCAGAGTTGGGGACTGCTGGAGAAGGGAGAGACTGAGAAAGCCATGTGTATAAGGAAAGCTGGGAAGTGCATGAAGAACAGTGAGCGTGGTTAGAAATTAAGGAATGGGAATAGATGTCTGAAGTGATGGACTGGGAATGAGGGGCATAGGGGGAAAGAACCTTTTGGGCAGGGCTGAGCCTGTCCTCCTACATGCCCCAGATGGCAGGGCTAGCACTGTAACTCTGTGAATATTCACCAACTAAATAATGGAATGAATGAATTTATGATATAAGATCAAATAATTTGTTAAATAATAATCAGTTATTATTTAGTGGACTGTTGAAAGCCACTGGAGGTTTCTGAAATGGCAGGTGCCAAGATGCAAGATGTATTGTAAACAACCGGCAGCATTACAGAACTCAGACTGGAGTTGCGGCAGGTGGGCGATGGACACCAGCTGGGAGGCCGATAGTCAGGCCCACACCAGGGCAGCAGCAGTGGAAGTGTTGAGAACAGGGCAGATACGTGGCACACTTCTTTGTCCAATGTTTGGAAATAGAAGAGAAAACACAGCAGCGAGCTGGCTTTACATTAAGGGAAAAGGACATTAAGTGTCACTGGCAGAGCCACCACCCCGACTACTGTCTAGCTACCTACTCTCTTTTTTCTGTGTGCCTTTGTATCTTTGTGTCCCCATCCCTGCCTCTCTCCTGTTCCCCAGGGAGGTCCCAGCACCATCAATGAGATGTGCCTCATTTTCCTCTTCTACTACCCTCGAAATAACATCTCCAGCTGCATGGGGTATCCTGACATCATCTACGTGGCACAGGAGCTTGGGGAGGAGGTATCAGAGTGAGTCATCCTGGAAGATAGAACTTTCTCTTGTGTGTGTGTCTTGGGGGAGTACTGGGGAAAGGAGGACAAGGACAAGGACACCCACCAGGTCCTGCCCAGGCTAGTGAGCCAGGGTTCCTCACGGGCTGCCTGACCAGCCCATACCCACCTCAGCCCTGCCCCATCAGACAGTGTGACTCTCAAAGCTCTGACACAGGACAGGAATTTTGTGAGATTTTCCACGTATTAGCAAGGTCATTCAGAGGAGCAGATAAAAACCAGTCCCCAGATCACTTACATATAAATTCTTTGTCTGCCTTTTCTGCATGCACTATTTGACTTAGTCAAAGACAGTATTTACTTCCAAGTCATGACCTCCATCATTTGGGGATAAGGTTCCTCTCTAAGACTCTTGTGAGAGCATGGAACATTGCACATCCACGCAGATGCGCCCTATTTCACATGCAGTTCAGAGCCATTACAGTTTCCGTACTGTACGGCACCCAGATACAAACACCTTTCTTAAAGAGTCAGAAGCTCCTCTACTTTCAGTTTTTACAATTCTCATCTTGAGTTCTGATATTTCTTTTTCTGTCAAATTTATTAATTATCTCATTGAGTTGTGAGGCATTTCTTATGGTTTAGGCTGACATGGAACTGATGTTAACACAAACAAGAGTACTCCATACACATTTTGTTGGATGCCAACCCAAAGCTGCTATCTATTCCCCCCACCCCAATCCTCCCGCCCATGACAGCTCCATGGAGGGCATGATGGCCATGAACAATGTAGAATGGACCCCAGAGAGCATTAAGAAGGCTGAGCGAGCCTGCAAAGAGGCCAGACAGACGGTGATAATAAAGACTATTGATGTGAGTGTCCCAGGAGATGCCACCCTCTGGAGTTAGGGATGGAGGGGTGTCTAATGGTGTTGGGCAGAATCAGGGGCAGGGAGGAATCAGGGACTTGAATGACAGAGGCAGAAACACTGGGCCAGGGTAAGAGGGGCTGAAAGCAGTAAAGTGGGTGGCTGCTGCTCTGGGTGGATTGTGGGTGTCATGGAGCCTCACAGGTAGCCTGCAGTCTCCATGAGGGGTAAGATCACCAAGCAAAGGAAAGGGAGATGCTCCTACCTTTACCTTGTTTTTCTCTCTCTGCTACAGGAGGTGGTGGAAAACACTACAGGCTGGATTCCAGACATCATCCCTACTCCTCGGGGCCCCTGCTTGGAGTCCTCTGGAGGCAAAGTGGAGCCCCAGGACAAGACCCCTGCAGGCTTCAAGGCTGCCCCAGTGGCCCTCTCTGGCTCCAGCACTGTATCCCTGAGGCGCCTCCCACTGGTAGCCCACCTGCTGGTGCAGGGCATCCTCTCCTGGCTCCTTGCCATGCTGCGGACTGGAGGCTGATTCTGCCTCCTCATAGGCTTACACGGGGCCTCCATCTTCTCAGCCCTCCACGTACCAGCAAAATCAGAAACTCCTCCTTGCTTTGGGTCCCCAAGTGTCCCCTCTTTCTGCCTCTTCTCATCACCCAGCCACAACGCTACAGGCCTGGGCACTGCATGTATTCCATAGGGTTCCTCCATGAGCTATGCAAGTCATACTATAGCCTTAGAACCACCAGTGGGACTGTGTATTTCCTGACAAAGTCTGGCTCCAAGGATGAGGGTGAGGTAACAGATCCACTCTCTGAAAATTCTTGTGCCCCAGCTTCCTTAAGAGGCTGCCACAGGAGGAAGGGACTTGAATGCAGACAGAGAGCCCTGTAAAACTTGCTCCACTGACTCCTGGCCCTGGAGGGAGCTTCTGGTTTTCTTTTCTTCTGACATCTTTGCCCAACCCCCCTTGTGGGGCAGAGGCAGGAAACCACACCACACAGGTGGTGGGGAGCCAAGGGCTATTTGTGGTAAAAGTAGGGGCTCTTCTTATAAGGGACAAAGCTCAAGACAGCAGATTAAATAAAATTCGACTTGCTTCCTGTTGCCATCTCTTTCCCTTGAGCCTTCAGTAAGAAGCAGCCGGGCATTCTCTTGAATTGCTCAGTATAAGACATCCCAAGGACACTGGAAGACCTAAATGCAACATTTAATGCATGTCCCTTGCTCTCATTACCCATGTGTCTGTCCACTGTCAGATGATCTTTGCTTATCCCCCTAATGTCACCTTGTCAACATTCAGGACACCAGGTGTCAAGACCCTACCTGGGCAGGCAGCCTGGAGTAAGCTCAGAGAGCAGGTCAGGGCTTGGGGGAGAGAGACAGTCCTTAGCCCAAGAGCCAGGGTAGGCCCAGGGGGTTCACTGGTGGTTCATAGAGTTAGGCTGCAGTTTGCAACCATAGTTTTCAGAAAAGGCCAGTGAAGGCGGCTGCCCTGAGAGCTTCTGTATTTATTCTAAGCTTGAAAATACCTTTCTGTATTCTAAGCTTAAAGTGTTCAACCCCACCCTCTCCCTTTGGGATGTAATCTCACCATGCTGGTTTATGAGCTGCTCATTGTTTGTGTCCCCTAGAGGGAGACCCATACCCTGGACTGCAGGAGGTACTTAGAGGGATTGTAATCCAAAGAGCAGGGATGTGGCCTCAGCAAATGCCATGTCACTGCTCTAGGGGCCTTAGCATAGGTCTAACAGCAGAGCCTGCTACCTAACAGAGTAAGAGCCTTGGTGGTGTGCCCTGGGTGCTGCCCCAGAGGGTTCTGGATGCCTCACTCTGAGATTTCTGAGATCCTGCAGAATCCTGTGTTCACACTCAGGTCCCGAGGTCACAGTATTGACTCTTCTCAGTGATTAGCAGAGAGCATACTGTCCTTAAATCAAAGAGGCTTTTCAAAGTTCAGGATTATGAAAAATCATGGGCTGTGTTCACTGTTAGTCTTTTGTCACCATTCAAGGGAAATAGAGATTTTTCTTTTAAAAAATAAGTAATAAGCATCTGCCAGCTATTTGAGGGAAATAAAGTATAGCTGACTCTTGAACAAATATGGGTGTGAACCTCACAGGTCCATTTGCACGTGAATTTTTTCAACCAAATATGGATTAAAAATACAATATTCACTGAATTCAAAACCTGCATATATGGAAGACTTTTTGTGTGCAAGGATCTCAAGGAGCCAGCTCTGAGACTTGAATATGCACACCATACATTTGCCTCCCATCCTGGGACCAATGCCTCATGTGTCCCCAGAAGTGGCTATATTTTCTACAACATGCATGAAGAAACACATAGATGTGATATCTAGATAAAAACTTAACCACAACAAGCCATTTCTCCCCCTTTGCATTATCTGATTAATGAGCAAGTCTAACATTTTTATTCTAAACTGTATGACTCAAGGGCGCCCCAGCAAATTCTTTTGGCCTTCATCTTTTAAGTAAAAATACTCTTTCTGGGGGTTCCAGATGCCATCTCTTAATCTGGCTATAGCCTCACTCCTGGGTCTTCTCTGGCAAGTTCAAGCAAGTTGGCAGACACCCCAGGCTCTCTGGCCAGAACCTTCCACTGGGTCCCTTTGCCCAGGTGGTGGCCCAATATAGCTCCAACTCTGGTCCTTCTCATATACTTTACGTTTCTATTTAGCCTCATTCATTTCATTTTATCTTTCTCTCCATCTGCTGGTCTCACAATTATTATTATCACTTGCACATGTTAATCTACTGCCCTTGTGCTTGACACGAGGTCAGCAGCAGGTACTGTTGAAATGAACAGAAAAGGGGACCAGTTCCCTTCTGCCCATGAGGAGCTCCAGGCAGGTGCCTACGAACACTCCAACAGCCATCTTCTCCTTTGGCTGTCACTGTCCACCTTTGCGCCTTTCTCAGTTTCACTTAATTGTTTCCTCTTTTGACTGCCTCAAGAAAAGAACTATATTTATATTAACCTATAGACAATGACCCATTTCTGTACTTAAAAGGGATGCATTCATGTGATACAAACACTGAACAGAGGGCTCAGACGAATACTGCTGGGAATTTTTTTTTAAATATTCCCACAGATGGTGGAAACCTGAATTACTTGACTTCTAGGTCCTTTCCAATTTAACTGTTCTGTATAGTCTCCTAACCACCTAATGATATGTTGTAAGAAGAAGATGATCCTGTCACTCATGCCTGCCTGTCATGCCTCATCCCTGAGGGGTCTCTGACATCACACTGGCTCCAAGTGACTCTACCCCTGTCCACCCCAAACCCCACTCAAAATGCTATATTAAATTTGGAGGGTAAATAGTTCTTTTCTCTGTGCTTCTATGTGGGCAAGAGGAAGCACAGACAAATGGTCACAGGGACTCTGTTCTTTCCTGTGGATTAAGAAGATTTTGATACAATTTCAAATTTGTGGATATTTCACAAATTCTCATTTACCCCTTACCCAGTTCTAACCATTGTCTGCATTTTGCTTCATCTCTCCCTCTCTTCTTCCCCCCTTCTTTTCTTGTTTCTCTTCTCCTCCTCATTATCCTTCCTCTCTCCCTCTTCCTTTCTCTCATCCCTCGTTCATGAAGCTAACAACTTAGTTCCTTCCCCTGTTTACTGGAGGTGCCCTCACTGTCCACATTGCTGCTACTACTTAGTTAGCTGAGACTGAGCAGGACAGCTCCCAGGTTCCACTGACTGGGGGCTCTCAGCCTCAACTCCATGTTAGAATCACCTGGTGATGAAGGTCACACCCAGGTATCTGGGGTTTATTAAATCCAGCATGTGTTTCCAATAGGCACTCAATATTGAAGACCACTGAATCAGAAGTTCAGATGTTCTTGACTACTCTATTTCTTGGAGGAGACAGGAATCCCTTTGTGACTTCACATGTTTATGCCATAGTAGGGACATAGACCAGAGTCCTGGGAGCCTCCTATAGCCCGTAGGTAGAATTTTATTTGCTGGATTATGAGAATGTGTGGAGTGTGTGGATTATGAGAATGTGTGGAGAATGTGTGTCTTAGAGAAGGGGCACATTTAGAGGGAAAGTGGAAGTGGCTATTACCAAATATCACTCAATAAATAAATAGTAAAGAAAGAAAAGTACTTCCCCTGCCAAGGAATAAATGTAGAAGGAGTGACAAAACCACCATTTGACAAACAGCATTTCTCCAGGGTTGAGCTTATTTGAAAATAAATGTTAGTTAGAACAAAGAAATCATCACAGGCTGTATACAAGAGCATTATCAAAATGGATAAAATACAAAAACAGAAATAAGGCAGATAAATATGTTTTCCCAAGCAAGAGTTTTTGACCAGCTTTTCCTCTTAGCAGAGAATGATTGTTCAGCCACAAACTATAGTGTACTCACAGACCCTGTATTAATTATACCTGTCAGTAATAATGTGTGTGTTTTAGGGCTATAAATACTCAGGATTGTATAAATAATTCTTTAAACAACCACAAGATGATGACAATTTAGTAAAGGTAAACAGTTTTTTTGTTTGTTTGTTTGTGGACCTACAGTTCATGACAGGAGTAAAGAGAGCTTTAATCTGAACAATTGGTAGAAAAATAGCAAACTAAAAAGTGAAAGACTATTAGAGAGATAGTTTAAGATGAAAAACTAAAGTTCATTGCTAGATCTCTAAGGAGCCAAACTTTATCTCAGTACTCCCCAAAAGGTTTTTAAAATTAATATTGCTCACAAATTCAATGAACAATCTTTTGAGGAAGAACCGAATCAGGTACTGATGAAATCAGAAAGATATAGTGCTGGGAGAATGGGGATCAAAGACCCCATTCTTGGCAAGGGAAAGAACTCCCCCCAAAAGAGGAAAATTTAAAAGTAAGCTGAGTGAGTTGGAACAAAGAAAAGTCAGCTAGCTTACATTTAAGCTAATCATTGCTAGCAAGCTTCCTGCCTTTTCTGAAATTCCAGCCTGTTGGGGATACAGCTTACAAACACTGCTGGGTCTGTGAGCACCATAAGGAAAATAATGCCCATGGAAGAGACTGTGGCAAGTCCTAGCAAAAGCTACATCTTCTAGGGTGTTTCTTGCCCATTAAACAGGCAAAGCGGATATCCATTGTGGATATTTGCATTTTCCTGGGGCAGAGATCAAGGGAGTAGCTTGAGCTCGGAGATAAGGGCAGAAGAGCTTATATCCCTTGTGGCAGAGGAAGATCCTCTGTGGTGGTGATGGGAGGAAAATGTCTCCCTCCCACTAATATCTCAGAGGAGATTAACGCTGGTGGAGGTTTACTCCACAGAGAACTGGCGGGGTTTTACAACTCCCTAGAAATCTGTGTGTGTGATCTCAAGCAGGAGGCCCTTTCAATACCAGGCTCAGATTTCAGATTTCTGAAGGCTACCTGAAGGTTAATAATACTGACAATAGGGGGGCGGAGCCAAGATGGCGAACTGCAGCCAGCTTTTTACAGAAGCTCCCGTCCAGAAGGAGGCTGAAAGGACAG